CCCCAAAACCCCAAAACCCCAAAACCCCAAAACCCCGAATCAGACCGAGTAAATTGAATTAATTTTGATTTCTTGAAAACTGGTTGCCTATCTATCTCCTTTCGGCTGGATCCACTTGTAATATCCCTGATTAATTGTCTTGAACTCCCCTCCGTTCTTGCCTAAGCTAAAGTTCTCCCTCTGCATTGCATTAGCTTGCTTCGAACTATTTGAGGATTTCATTGCTTCTCCTACAACTCTTTGGTAAGGAGCATGCTTGTTTCTGTCAGTATAAGGCAACCTAGTATTTGCAGATTTAGTAGCAGAGAATTGACTATTTTGGAATCCCATCTTAAACGTAGTCTGCTGATTATTCCCTTGATGTTTCTTAAATCCAGGGTTTGGCTTGGAATCAAAATCTGTCTTATTCACTGTGCTATAATCATTTCTATCATTCCCCAGATTAAAATGGTTTTTCTTGAGATAGCTCATATTGTTGTGGGAATGGTCAATAGTACTCGATTTTCCCTGTGGCATCACGAATTTGCTCTTCGCTTCAGAGGTATAATCATATCATTTCCCCTTGCCAATATCAATAGTCGTTTTCTTTGAATCTATATTACTGCTATCAGCCTTAACTTTTCCGTAGTCAACATTTAGATTTGCAGAATCTTTATATGTTGATTGGAGTGGTAATCCTTTATATTTGTTACTGCCTAACTCGAAATTCGAACTTTGCATTTTCTTTGCTAACTTATTCGAATCATCAAGACCCTTCTGGTCAATATTGAACTTCTGATGAGCATCGTGAGAGCATGAACCTTGATTTCCTTTGTTATTCCCAAACTCGAAATGAGAAGACCTCAAATTAGTTTGTAAATTTTTGGAAATCTCAGAGTTTTTCTTATTCTCCTGGGCCATATTATCACCTGTGATTTGCTCCTCATTGAACTGGAATTGAGCCATTGACTTGAAAGCATTGGAATCACTACCATACTTTGGATCCTTAGATAACTGAAAATTGGATTTCTTTAGCTCAACTCCTCTCTGCTTGGCTTGCTGCTTTTGTTTAACCATTTCTGAGTGGAACTTATTTGCATGATCGGTAATGTTATGAGGTTCATTTTTAAGACTATTACGATTATTGAAATGGCCGAATGAGAAATTAGCTTTCTTCAATTTCTCCCCTCTTTGTCTCATCAAAAGTTTATCCTTAAAAGACTCTGCTACATCTTTCTGAGTGAAGTTAAGGTTATTGGTGGTTTGATAGGAAGTTTTTCCATTCCCCAGTGGAATAGTATTCTTATCTCCTCTGTTAACATTAACATGGCTCCGGGTAAATTCTGGATTTTTATCATTAAAGTTAGCATTCGAAGTGGTTTCATATGTGCTCTCATTGTTAAATCCTAGCCTAAAGTTCCCTTTTCTCAGAGTGTTTGCAGAAAAAGTATTTGAGTTCCCTGAAAGATGTGAAAACTGCTTCGAGTTATAAGTCTGATTACTAGTGGTTTCTCCTTTACCAGAAGGGTCATTACCAAAAACGAAATTGCTCCTCTTATTAATCTTGGCCATTCTCTTCTGTTGGTCTCCAAGATTTCTATCATCAACTTGCATATTTTGATACGTGTCTTGGTTTAACGAGTGAGGAAAGGAGCTTAAATCTGAGCCTAGTTGGAAATGCGTTCTCTTAATTTCCTTAGCGACTTCCTTCCTTGATTCATTTGTAGTATAGATACCCACATTCTTGACCTCTTCCTTGTCAGGTATCTTCATCTTGGAATACGAATGCATTGTATAAGGCCTTCTACTCATTTTTAAGAATAAAATTTATATTATTTAAATTTATTCATATTTAAACTGTGAAATCTATATTAGAAATTTTCTTGGGGTTTTGGGGTTTTGGGGTTTTGGGGTTTTGGGG